AAGTACCAAATTGCAGCCATTCCAGAAATGCTGAATCAGGGTCAAATTTGCCAGTTTCACCTAGAAAAATACACTGGGGAACTAGAGTCACCAAACTGGTCACATTGTCTTTTATGCAGTAGCTTAACAGTATGTTTACTCACCCAGAAAGCAGGAGAGCACAAACCAATTCCCTCTGCCTAAACACATATGAATCCGCCCTCTGCCATCTCCCAGAACAACTTAACTACCAGGCTGCAAGATTTCCCGGGACAGTGCTTTGTCCTTTATTGACACACTCTTTGCATAAACACATTTTCATCGAGACAGACTGGATTCCAGCCTGTCAGCAGGGCAAGTGCCCTCAACATCTCAATCATTCATTCTTAGATCCCCTTTTCTAAACTGTTTCATACAGCAGATTTCTTCTGCTAAAGCTTTTCAGGACCTCATTGAAGAATTTCCTTAGGTTGGCAGTTAAATCGCTCCGAAGGTTGTTGGATGGCATCAGTTTAAAGCTCCTAAGTGAACAGCCCAAAGAACTACTGGGTAAAAATGGGATTATCATCCCTATTCCTTTGTAGTTCATGAACTGAAACAACTGATTTCCAGTGCTTTTTAAGCATTCAAAATGTTAAGCTTTAAACAAACAAAAAGTGTTCATTTCTGAGAATAAAAATTGAAATTCTGCTCATCCTTAACAAACCAACCCCGCACACACAATCTCAATTATAACTATGGTGTCCGCAGTCATTCCTCCTGCTCCTTTTATCTTCACGCAGGGTCCATGAACACACCAAGCCAGAATGAAGTCTGAGACAAAACCCACAAAGAGGGAACAAATACCATGGCCACTGTAAACACAGTCCCAGCGATGTGTCTACTGCACTCCAGTGGGAAAGCTCTGGCATGTTAACACATACGCTTTATAAATTGAAGTCGCTGGGCACCAAATGCTATGGTATCTTTTACTGAGGAAAAAAGTTAAGACAAATACGTTATCTCAAAACTAATCAGAAAAGACTTGTTTTGTTCACGAGTTTGTTTATTAAAAAGGTAGTATAAAACACAACCCCTTTAAGAAACAAATTTGAAGACAAATCAAGGGATTCTCAGATGTTGTCACAGGTCTAGATATTATTCAAATGATTTTTAAATGTTGGTTTTCTAAAGGATAAGTGAAAATTATCAATTTAACTTATCGAAAGAAAATAACCTGTCAGAAAAATTCCAAGACAACTTACTGAAAAGTTTAATCTAACAATGTACTTTCGTATTACAGAGTGAACAAAAAACAATTTGCTGCAAAAGATTTCATAATTCTATAAATATTTTACAGAACTTTCCTGACAGTAAGACTTCAAGCCTTGTATAATGAGCAAAGTACACACAAGTCAAATCAACACAAGTACACAACTTACATAATTCATTTATCATACTGCAGTATGTTTCCTCAAATTCAGAAATAACAATAAGAATTTAAGATCCAATTAAAATCTATAGGGGTGTGTATATATATTTTTTAAGAGTCTGATTAGGTTATACAGTTCAAGAATTCAGGGTACAGATATCAATTTTACTGGAAAATCTAAAGGCAAGTTTGGGTTTCTATGAAGCATCCAATACCTTTAAGTTTTCTTAAGTGAATTAAGCCAAGTATTTGTAATTGCAAATAGATTAACCTTAACTGAATAATGTCTAGGACATGTTTTAGCTAAAATGCACTGCATTTAACATACTAATGATTTTAAGTGAATTGCAATCCTTATACAAAATGTAAGTTGTACGAGGGACTGAAATTCAATTAAAAAAAGTAATTAAAGTCAGCAGGAGAAACAGATAAACATTTTGATGCAAAATGAAACCAATTCTCTCTTTACAGCTGGATATGAACATTCGAGAACCTGCTACAACTTATGTGCCTTTTCTTTTGGGGCTTTTTGTTTCCAGATGTCTACCTTGGCCATGCTCCTCAAACCATGTAATCTCTGATGAATACTTGTAACTCCATACAATTACCTTGCCAGCAAACCACTAAATAGCATTTCATTGTAAAGCAAACTACCAATATATCTTGAAGCTAAGCAACTGATTTTGTATTGCATGGTTAAGAAAGTGATTATCTATGCTGAATTATGCTGAAGTACCAGTTAGTTAATACTCCTTCCCTGCTGTTATATTTAAGTGGTTTCACATCCATTTTGTCACACTGTGCGAATTAGTAGAAACAGCTATTTCTCTAGTTCAAAACTGAGCAACAATAATTATCCGCAAATTTTTTCAACCTGATGCTAGTTATTATTTTCATAACATACAGAGGGAAGGAGACAGCTTTTCTTAAAATGAACCTCTCGCCAAAAGCCTAGGGCTGAAGGAACATGCAGTATACTGGAACACTGGAATAGAACCTAAAAAAAAAAATCAGAAACTGAGCAAAAAGTTTGATTCTGTCACTTCTAATGAGCAAGACAAGTCATTAGAAAGCACTTTTAATTAAAGAACAAATATAGCGAAAGTTGCATTGGGGGTTTAACTTCTTACCAATTTATTTATAATGACGCTCAGAAAAAAATTTAAGTTTGAAAAGCAACTCAGCTGGTTCAGCTTCAGATTTGTTAAAATTTCGTATTAAACATTACTGCTCTACACTACAAGATTTTAATCATCATACTTCAAAATAGTAATTTTAACCTTTGTGAAAAATTTTAATTTATGTTCAGATTTATAAAAATTTGCATCATTTAAAAAAGGAAAACATCAGAAGAATTTGGTCTCAATGAAAATCTGCTGAAAAGAAAGTCACAGCTGCATTTACTTCTCCACAGACAGTTAAATGTTTCAATAACTCAATTAAGTTTATAAAAATATATTTTTACATTTTACTGGGGAATAACAGAGGTAGACAAAAGGAAAATACCAGTTTAAGTGTAATGCCGCATTTCAGAACAAAGTATTTTCATGGAAAAACAGCTTTTATTTTCTTAAGAATCCTAGTTAATAGGAAAGCCAGGAAAGCATTTGGTCTCAGTCTTTGTCGGTGCTCTACTTCACTGTGAAGTCTAGAGGAAAAGGTGAAAAGACTAACATCACGTTTGACTTTTGAAGCAAGCCAGTCAAATTTGTACATCAATTGGAGAGAGGAAGGTTACTGCACATATAATGATTCTTTATTTTTCAAAGTATTTTTTCAAACACTAACACTAACCTCATTTTTTATATCTGATACCATGATAAGGCTTCATAGAACTGTACAATATTTATACATTTGTCAATAGTTTCCCTGTATCAGTTGCAATTACACTGTAAAATAGGCGATTTAACTGTGTAGAGTGTTATATGACTAGGCTTTCTTTTAAAAAAAAAAAAGCTAACAAAACACAATAGTCTAACAGATCTAAAGCCTGGAGTCCAGAAGCTGGAAGGAAGAAAGGAGCACTGAAAGCAATACCCACCACACTGAATTACACTCTTCATATGCCAAAACCTTCAGCCCTCAAAGGTCTGTGGTGCTTATTACCAATAAAAATAACTAAGGCAGAACCAACACAACCCAGAGATGTAATCTGAATATGCCACTACGTGCAGCTACACACCAGGCAGTACTTCAGATTCCCTGAACTGTTCAAACACCTTGTTTTGCTGAAATGTACAATTCGCACACTTGTAAGGATGAGAAAATGGTGTTTCTTAGTTGGCAAGAGTTACAGCTCTTTATAATGCAACTCAAAATGGGGAATTTGTCATGGCAGCTTATAATGAGCCCCCAGACTTTTAAACCCTGAATTCAAACATCATCTCTGTTGTAAGATCAGATGTTTTGTCACAAAAAGATATAATTTATAACCACAGTGGCAAGTGTTAACTTAGATGCTCTGGTTGGCATAGCTACCCATACGTATAAACTACATATTTAAAAAAACCCAAACAAACCAAACTTAGAGTACCATATAGACATCTGGAAAAAAATCTAGATGGTAATCTTAGAGCACAAAGTTTGAAAATACCAATTTTCAGAGGATTCTGAATACTTCAGGATGGAAATATAAGAATTAGCATCTATGGTTTCTTGCAATCCAATATGAATTAAAAAAATTCAAAAGATCCTCCTTACAAATGTGCACTAGTAACCATCCATATGAACAGCATGCTATGAATTTAGCACCAATATTTTAATTGTTTAGTGCCTAAATCCATATTCTTCTATCCTTAGGTATCAGAATAATAGGATTCTAAATGAAGAATGACCATGCCAAAAATAGCTCCCCAAAAGTTATTTTTGAAAGCCTGCCACTTATTAAGATATCTAAAGTTAGAATGTTTTCTAAATCCTTGCTTTTGGAAATATTCCTAGGAGGGCTAGCATCTGCTTCTTCCATATAAAAGAATATTATTTGAAAGCGTATTTTCAAGTATTCTAACTTTTGCACAACAAACCGTAGTTCAAGTTGCCAAAAGCCTTTAAATTTTATGAAATATGGGAGATCCTCCCCACTCTGAAGAGCACACAAGGCTAAACTAAAATGTTGAAGAGAACTCACACTCATCATCTAACAAAGTTAAATGAAAACTTTTACTCTAATATTAAAGCAAAAACTAAACAAAGCCAACACATCAATCAAAAGCCTATTTTGCATACCTACTGCATACAGACCATGAGAGTTTAAATCAGTCTTACTTCACTATGGCCTAGAATGTATGTGCTCATGCATTTCTAGTCTCCTTGACATAATTCCAGCCTCAACAGAAGATCTAAGCATCAACAGAAGATCTAAACAGGGGAAGAAAAAAAATTTACCGAATGCTGTGTTTTAAAAGTCTGTCTTCACTCAGTTTGCCTTACGTTGGCTATGGCAACTTCGTTTGTTTTTCACTTTAAGTTTGTGACTTGGTACTACTCTTATCTTTTGCTACTTAATGCATAGCAACATATCCAATGCATTCGCCCTATACGTATCACAGCATCTGTTCTATAAAATGATCCAAAGTACACAGGACAAGAATCATTTTTAAGGATGAGATACCGAGTTCCAAGGGGTACAGGAAAATTAACAGTAAAATCCATAAATCTTGTAATAGCTTTGCATTACTTAAGTTACACATAGTTACATGGACTTAAGGGTTGGAACATATTTCACACTTACATAATGAAACACTGACAAGCATAGTTAGAACAAAAGAAGCCTGATGAGTTTTACTGCATTCTTGGCAACTTGAGTTACTTTACCTGAACAGCCAATTACTACAAACTTTTAGAATCTCATTAAATACTGCTTTTAATGAAAACTTCAAAGCACACAGCTGATGACATTCTAATATGCATATATTCATATGAACATTGTCTGCAGTCACCCTGAAGAAAGGGATAAACTCAAACATCACCCTAAAAACCATGCTTTCATAAAGCATTAAAGGTGTTATGTATCTGCTTCAACATCACTGCCTGCAAGGCTGCTGTCTGTAGATGGAGCACCATCTTCACTAATGCCCTCACCATTATTCTCCCTCTTCTGGGCTTCATCATTTACATCCTTAGATGTGTCATTAACTTTTGAAGGTTGTCTGTCTTCACGTAGTTTAACGCTACTCGTTGCGGAATCCGAATCAGATGTAGGTTGCTGCTCCTTTGCATCAGGATCCTCTAAAAATGATCCCCACACCTTGAGCCTTTCTTCCCTTTCTCTTGCAGTCTCCTCCACCTATTAAAGATACGTTTATACACATTATTACAAAGTCATACTTGTAAAAATGAGTATTTACAAAGATAAAATTACACAAACATTCACATTGCAGTAGTTATCTTCAGTAGGCCCTGTTGACTGTGAACTAACAACCTGTACATCCACTGACTAATCCTCTAGGTTGACATCTCCAATGCACAATTTTTAACATCAAACAGGTCCTTTAATTTTGGCTAAATTGAATAATTAAGGATGATTTTTTCTGAGACATCCTAGTAGTCTTTGACAAGAAGCAAGACAGGGCAGGGTACGGGCATCGGAACACCAAGCACTTCTCAAATTAAAACAGATTTTCAGTTTAGAAGAAATATTTGATGAAATAGGACCATGAAAGGCTACCTGATAATCCGTTACACCATCCCATGTTTCAGCACTGAGCTGACGGCCACCAAACCACCTTCCATTTAGAGTTAGCTTGCACAGATCAGCTTCTGTTGCTTCTTTAAATGACACAGAAGCCACACCATCAGGGTGTCGCTGTAAGGAGAGACAACTTTCATTTAGTAAGTTTTCTAAATAGTGTATTTATTCCAAGATCTTTTAGATTGTCTTACAAAAATCCATCAGGATATAGCTCCATCCCGATCATAAACAATCATGTTTGAAAAACTGGATTTGCAAGTTTACACATTTTGTTCTATTGATACACAGAACAGACTTTTTGAACACAGAAAAAAAACGTTTCAGCTAGTTTAGCTACATTTGTATTTGTATAGTATTTGTATACTTCCAAACTTGTGAGGTATCCAAGTTATTGGAAAGAGTCAGAGTTTGCCTTCACATAGGCTGAAGTAGATAGGTGCTTATAGATTGATTTCCAAACCAGCTAATTTGAAAATAGAGGAAGATTAGGTCAATTTTCCATGAAATAAATGCACAAAACCAAATAAATGCTCCACTCATATTTAAAGAATCCTAAATGTTTTACACATTTACACACTACAACAATTCTACCAACACAACCTGTAAAAAAATACCTACATCAAATATGAGAACCTTCTTTACTTGACCAAACTTTTCACATTCTGTCCGCAGATCTTCTCTGATCTCATTTAGCACTAAGGGATCCTCCTGCAATGCAGTAACACAGATTAGATTAAACAGAAGGACTTACTTCTCAGCTTTATTTTTGCTCAATCACCAATGGAACGCATCTGCCAATCTATTAAAATTTATGCTGCATTTTCAAAGCCACTTGGGAGTTGGCAGACAGCCCCTATTTGAATTTAATAAATGCTACTTGTTAATAGGGCTTTTGTGCTGGCTTCTCCGTTCTAACATAGTTACTGTCTACTCTTCTTTCCATCCCAAAGACTATTGTCAGGATACACACAGTGAAAAAGGCCGATTTGAAAAATACATATCTTGGTCTTGCTTTTTGGAAACAGATGAATGAGTTTTAAACAGATGCTTGGCACAGGGGAAAAACCCTGCCCAAACAGTAAGTTAAATTTTGTTCTCATCTGCCTAGAATCTTGCTAAAATTCTTATGGCAGAAAGTTCAGACAACGTTAACTAAAACAGCACAATCTACAGTAGCAAACGGCATCTTCCTACCTCAAAGTCCTTTGGGTGAAACATATTCCTGATAATAACGATGCGTTCATGTCGCATTCGAGTTGCGCCATCTTTCTTCTCAGGCCTCCAATCCAGCTGTCTAATGAAATGAAGCAACAGTAAGAAGATATTGTTGCGGCTCTCTTCAGTTTCTACAAGTATTTGTTGAAAAAAAATCATTAATTTGGCATTTCTTGCAGTACATCAGCTAAAACATGTATTTTGACACAGCGTTAAGTTACTCTTCTAAAAAATGCAATAATCATCCAGTTTTACCACTTCTCCTACAAAGCAGTTCAGGTTTTAAGGTACTTAAATGCTCATAGATGGACTGTAAGTTATCTTAACAATCAAAGCATTTTTTAAACATTGAAAAAAAAATCTTCAAGTTTTAATTCCTTCCTAATATCAGCTCAGATACAGGAACCAGCTGCTGCCAAGTATAATAAAAATGTCAGTATTTCACCTTTTTTCCTAACTTATGTTGTAAAAAAAAAAAAACCCAAACAAAAGACCCACTATTACCTTTGGCAAAATTTAACTGCTTTTATTTAAACAAACATGCAAGAACACCTTGAGTCTTACACAGGCATTGCTACAAGATGTATTTTGTTCCACCGTGTACAGAGCCACTGCCACAAACTAGCAATGTAACTCAGGGCATCTGTTCACTGACTTTGCCTTCTCATGAAAAATGTTACTTCTGGTAGAAATGCCTACTTCATATCCCATTATAGAAAAAGGACACATTCACTTACACTTCTAAATCTCAAAATCTTATATTGGGGTGGGGCGGGGGGGAATCTTGTTTAAGTTTCTTCAGCTGAAGTAGCAGATACAAGAAGGAAACTTGGATTTCAATGAAGGTAGCAGTAAGTAAATTATGCTCTTCAACTCAAAAGGAACACCAGCTGAAGTCAGTTTATTCACACAAATTGCTGTCATTATTTTCATGCTTCTCTCTCTCCACACTGGAGACTTCTTATAGCAAGAACTGGCAATGTATCTCCAAGACACACATTTCAAGCTGCTTTTATTTTTAATTGATAAGATGTCAAGCAGACTTTTTCCCTTTCACTATGGCAAAATACTTTTGCATTACTATTTAAAATGTTTAGTGGAACACTGCTTTCATTAAAATATTAGGAGTCCTACAAGCTTAAACTTTCTTCTTCTTTAATCCACATCTTCTCGGTTCCAAAAGGCAGAAAAACAATTTTTAAGTGACAAAAGCAATGATATGTACAAAAGCAATCTAGGTACAATTTAAAAAACAGCATATCTTATACCAGAGAGAGAAAGGTCTGGGGAAATCTGCAGAGATATTTTAGTATTTGCTCCTATGGAAGCTGGCATCTCTTGCCCTTTGCATCGAGTAAAGTATGGTACAAACAATATGTGGACAGCCAGAGTCTTACTACCTTAAAAAAGTAAGCCTAGATATGGTGACAGGACTTGCACACTCTCACACACTGAGAAAAAAGTCTTTTATCTCCCCAGAATTGTAATATTTCCTTCTATAACTGAAAGGACCTTGGTTCCCTATGTATTATTTTAATGCGTCAATCATGAAGAAGTTCATTATGTCAACATTTAATTTAGGAGTTCCTCACCTCAAAATGTGTATTATTTAAGCTATTTTGCTGTCAGATAAGACTTTGATTTTTGCATAACTCTTAGCATTGCATTTGAAAGAAAGCAGCACTTTACTAATAGCACTTAGAATTCAAGCAATGTTTTACTGAAATAAAAAATACAAACTTCTGCTGTTGAGACAACTTCTTCTTGTAGTCTTTACATTTCTTCTTCTTTTTGCTTGCATCATACTCCCCCTTCAGTTGAAACTTTGCAACTTCAACATGCAATTTATAGCCTCTAATTTCTGCCTCATCCAGAAGTCTCAATGCAAGTTGAACTGATTCTCTCTATTTGAAGATAAAACAGAACACAAGCTTTAAAGCACATGGCACAGTCAAATTATTCCAGTAACATTTAATTAAGAATATTGTGCTAAGAATCAATTCCCTGTCACTGAAAACCATAATGCCATATCTCTTCCAAGTCTCTTGACACACAGTTGGCAATGCTTTCTTCATCAAAACCCTATGTTTCTTCACCACTCTTATAGCAGAATAATGCTTCCAAAAGCAACTGCATACATTGCATTCAAATATATCATAAAAACTAATCTGCAATGGTCAAGCAAGCTGATGAACTTAAAAAAATTTCAGGGGGCTGATTTTCTATAAAGCTTGTATCACTTTTCCAAGAACAGCAGACATTGAGGCTCTTAAGTAAGTCCTTTAGAGTGCAGACTGTCTTTATACTTGTGCACTAAACAGCCCTAACTAATAAAATTACAAAACTAGCATAGACTACAAGGCAGTTGATTTAGTACTGCCTGGTGCTTCTTGCAGAATTAAGGCAGATTGCACTTTCAAGCACTAACTTTCCAAACGATTCACAAGTGAAACACATGAAGGAAATAGTAGTGCAGCCTAAATGTTTATAGGTTAATATAGAATGCAAGAACCTAACCAGTCCTCAACTAAAATCTGTAAATACAGGACTACAGTACGTTCCTTTCTGTCTCATTATTTCTGTATTCTTGGCCACACAGCGGCATATTTTCAAAGTAAAAGGTGAAGAGGTTCCCCCATTTCGTGCCATAATCACTGGCACCCAAGACCGGAACATGTAGTGACATGTTCAGCAGGTTACAGACATTTTCAGGGGGAGGGTGGGGGTGGATTAAGAGGAAACGAATGAGGTGCACAAGCAGGTAAGTGGGTGGTTCTGGAATAAATCTTTAAAATAGGCATGTAAATTTTAAGTTATACTTCAGATATTTCAAGAATCTTCTGAATATGATTCTGAAACAGTGGCCACAAGTATCTTCAATGGGAAGGAACATTGTATTTCAGTGCACCACTGACCTTTAGATAGCAACAGAGGCCATCTCCTTTAAGATTTCCTTCCTTATCTTTGTAAAGCTTGATTTTGTGTTCTTCTGTCTGAGGATCTCGCATAATGATACCACATTTTGACATGACTTGTATAAATTCATCTTTTGTAATGTCTGGAGGTAAACCTGCAAAACAAATTAAAACAGAAGGCTTGAGTATGTTCAATTTAAAACATCATTAGAACAAAAACCCCACAGTGTTTCTTTAAATTAAAGATATCAAACTTAAGGATGAAATTTTACATACACAGCATGAAACCACTGTCCTGGGGACCAGTATTTTTTATATAACCTTTTAAACATTACTTCATACCAATATTTTGAAAATCCTTTTACTTTCTAACAGCTGTAACATGCAGCAATAGCTTTGTGCTCCCTAATATGCAGACCTAGAGCTTTAGTGCTATACACGATATTGACACTACAGTGGACACAATGGCATACGCAAACATAACTATCCTGCCCAAGTTTTAAGTTCCACTGCACCTCCAGGGACTGGAGACAAAAATATCCACCCAACCTATAAACAGACAACTAATTTCTCCACCCACAAATTTGACAAAAAAAAGCAACTGTTAATGTATGGATTTTTCAAAGTCTAAACTTTGAATTGAGGACAAGAAAAAAAAAACAAAACGGAGGAGAAAATTACGTGAATGTTACATGCTAGTATGGCCTAGATGAAGATCTTTGAGAATTCAAGTGTGTGCATTTCTGTGACTGCTCAGAACCACCAAATGTACCTTTGTGCATGCACCTAAAGACAGCACCCCAACATCCAAAACAGGTAAAGAAATACGATAATAAATGCACAGATAAGTTTCATTTGAGCTTCCCCGTTACTTGCTCATTCTATTTCCAGCTTTTTTTTTGTACTTACTGTTTTCTCCTTATCTAATAATTACGTATTTATAAAATCAAAAAAAAATTAAAGATTAAAACTTTAAGTGATACGTGTAGTCAATGCAATCTTGTTATAACTTGTTCTCATTATCCTATTCCTTACGAGTTCATAAAGATTGTTTTTCGTGGCTGTAGTCTACTTAAAAATAATTAGTGACCTGGCTGACACAGCTCACAGAATATCACATTTAAAAGACAAAAGCATGGAATATGTCCCTTATATTACCTTCCCACATTTGCAATTTAAAGGTCACAAAGACATTACGCAGTCAGGAACACACTGATAAGCAGGTTGCAAGCAGCAGATGGAATAGGTAATATTAGAAGTCAGTGAGACATATACAAGTCTCTCTTTAGATCTTTAGCTCAAAGTAGATAAATAAATGCTATTACTTACCAGTCACATAAACATTTGTGTTTCTGTCTTCTTCAACATGGAACCAACCTAAAAACAGATATGCCAATATATTAAACATGGGAGCATACACTAATGTTCACGTTCCATCACATTTCTAAGAATTTTTGCTTGCCCACAGGACAAGCTCTGAACACGCCTTAATTTGCTTTTTTCCCCACCTTGTATATGGACTTAGGAGGACACCCATGTAGAATCATAGAATCATTTAGGCTGGAGAAGACCTTTAAGATCATCAAGTCCAACCATTAACCTAACATTACCAAGTCCACCACTAAACCAATTAAGGGTAGAGTAATAACTAATTTCACATTTCTTGGCTTGGTGGCTGGATTATTTTTTAGTGAAAGTAAAACTAGGAATCATTAAGGTTGGAAAGGACCTCTAAGATCATCAGTCCAACTGTCAACCCAACACCACCATGCCTACTAAACCATGTCCCGAAGTGCCACGTCTACCCATTTTTTGAACACTTCCAGGGATGGTGACTCCACCACCTCTCTGGGCAGCCTGTTCCAATGCTTGACCACTCT